ACGTTGTTGGGCCATACCCAGTGGCCTTTGGGTTGGGGCTGATTGCGATGCTTTTTGCGTTTGTCGCCAGAAGACCGAGGCGGTGTCTCGAGCCACATTTCACCACTGTTTGGGTAAGCAATGAGGATTTTGGGCCGCTTTGCGTTGAGCCGCAGGGCCTCTGGGTGTGGATGGTAGCCATCGTCACTGCCAGCAATCCTGTCCCGAAGGGTCTCCAGTCCACCTACGTTGGCGAGCGCCTGACCGATCAGTTCGTGAGGAATGAAGCAGTTCACGCCGATGCCAATTATCTTGAATCAGGAAGACAATTTGTTTTATTTGGCGGCTGCTAAAACGATCACTCCAGTAAAGTTTGCCTTATGCAGGATGCGAGGGTTTTCTGAAGCCAGCTAAGATATCTGTTTGGTATGTAAATAGGGCAAATTATATCGCGCAACAGAAGGTGAAAATTTTTCCGTTTGGTTTCTTAGTTCCTGAAATATTTACTGGTGGTGATAGAAGTCAAGAACGGGCGGTTGGAGAACTATAGTATACAGGAGAATAGCTGCAGTAGGACCTGACCAATCTTTAGGTTTCAACGTTATTGGAGTTTCCAGTATGCCTTTCGGTACGCTATTTAAAGCTTAAGAAAAGTGCACTTTAGGCAAAAGTCCTGTTCAATGATGGGCTTCGTTGCTTTCCTATTTCGCAGTAATTAAACCGTATATTATACGGATGACTTGAATTTATCGTAGTGTGCGGCTGCAGCATGCACATCTTTTTAATCCAACCCAGTGATTTACTCTAAAGTCAGGGTTTTACTTACTGCCCTAGTTCAAAGTTGAATCCAACAATATTGATGACATGGCGGCGTTTTTGGCACAGCCGACCTTGCTCCGCCATGGAGTTACAGTTAGAAACGTGGAAGACTGTATAGCAAGTAGCGAAAGGCATGTACCGGAAATTTTACAATACGCTTTTGCTTAGAATGGATTATTCATGTTGTATTGAATGTCCAAAAATTCTCAACCAAACGTCATTCCATCTGTGTAAAATACCTTAAGAGTACGGTCTTTTAATTGGTATTGCAACTTCACTTGTGTGATTATTTTTTCATCAAAACTGAAATTCAACATTTCAGTCAGTGTTTTGCCAGTTACATCTTCGTCTGAACACCCAGAGGACAACCGGTAATTTTGTGCCGAATATGTTCTCCTGTTCCTAATGCTTACTCGATGTTCTTAACATGCACTGTCAGCTTAGTTTACAGCTATGATAGTCTGTATGTCACTAGAAGAGATGACAAATGAATATCCTTACTAGAAACAGAATATGCATCTTACCGAATCGCATGAATTTACAATAGCCGCCACCTTATGCAGAGGTTCCCCATGGGCAGTTGTCTGTCCATCGCGAGTTGATACTGACAACCAGGCAACAGTACCTTCCGGAAGTTGACGCATCACCTCCGCAATGGCTTGGACTTCGATGAGGGCGGGGATGGTCTCCCAGGCCAGCAAATCAACCCCAGCTGATACTAGTATCTTGGCACGCTCGAGGTGAAATTTCGTTAGTTCATCGAGGCTCATGTGATCTGCATACGCTCCAGTGTATTCAGATCCGTCGTGCTTAAAGTTAACAGCAAAAAATTGTTGAACAAGCACTGGGTTTGTTGTTTCACATTATTCAACTAACGAGCAAAAGAACAAGAATTATCTGACCCCGGTGATCTGAAGCGCTTACCAAAACTATTGCGTAGGGACCAAGAGAACCGGCGACTAATGGATAAAGCCGTTCTGCTTTATTGTACCCGTGTTTGAACATATTTGGTGCGGTCTCCTCATTGCGTAAAGACTGTTCGTATTCTTTCCAAAACTCCTCAATCGCACGTCTAGCAAGTGTCACAGCCTTTTTCATCAGGGCCTCGGCCACGACAACTTCCACGTTAAGAGCGTCGGCAAGCGTCTGGGGGGCGGCTTGGTAGGTGTTTGTCGAGATGACATCGCACCCGGAACGAAGGAAGCTAAAAAATTTTGGTGAAATGAATCTGTCGGTGCAACTTATTGTTTTCGAAAATCACAAGCAAGTACGTATATCTGCAAATAGCATTTGAAACATGGATAGGTAAAAGAACAAGGTGCTGTGGAAGTAGCCGAAATAGCTTTAATAACTTATATATTTTACATTTTAAATGAATTGAGGTTACACAATTAAGTGTGGTCTTGTGAGACGGAAAATGAATTGATTACGAGGATTTTGTGATTTTTCAGAAACCTTAAGGTTTAATTAAGGTTTAATTAATGGGCACAACATTAGACTTTTTATTCTAAGTCAGGTCAAAGTAAAAGAAACAAGGTAAGTAGTGCATTAAGTTCTTTCATCCTAAAACCCATTAAAATACGCAAGACTAAAATATGCGGAACAAATTAGAGAATAAATTGAAAGGAAATGTGATAACTTAAATTTAAAAATGACAGTCAGTCGTTCAAATTAACGGAAATTAGCAGTACTGATGGATCTGCGATTCTTAGACGATACAGCAAAGTAAAAAGTGCATTTACTACAACAAGAGATAGTAAAAACCGTATATTCTTTCGAATTTATTGAAAAAAGTGGCTTCCAAGTCGAATTTAAAATATTAAATTAGGACACCGTCATATGTTATTTCCTAAATGCTGTCACTTTTCTGTTGCATTAAGAGAAAACAAACTTGCTAAATCTAAAGAAAAGTCTTCGCCATATTAATGGTTGCCGATGGTGCAAACCTTTTATGTATGTCCAGGACTAGAGCCGGTTCATTTTGAAGTAGTAGGCAGCTCCAAGCCTTATGTGCGTCAATTTCGTAGTCTGATCGGATAGCTGCTTCGCTGCCAAACCCACCATCTAGAATCCTCATTTCATTAAGCCACTGTACTGCTTTCGGTGGCAACGGCATCCCCCAACGCTTTCTCGAGGCATTTAAATCCGCGACAAAATTAGGTATCGATTTAAAGTACTCAGCCGGTAGATTCCGTATTCACAACCTCAAATCTGAGACTCCAAACAGACCTTGGTCTGTTGATGAAGAACTCCTCAAATATTCATTATCGATCTGATAGGGAATTTGCTACTTGTATTCTAATTCTCCGTCAGTGTGATCAAACCATATAATACCCTCTCGGGAAATGTTGTGATTTTACCACTGACGGAAGGCTTTTAGCAAGCACTATGATAGGTTTTTAATGCACAATCAGCCGACATGGTGAGAGACTGAACTTAGTCCTTGATACTCATGTTCATATGAATATGAGTATCAAGGACTCTTTTTGCTGTTAGGGATCTTGTCGTATTTTATGATCATCTTCGAACTATTCCAACCTGCTTGTTTTCCCCCTACATCGCGCCTAGACTTCGTTGCAATTATCATACTTAAGGGTTCCCGTCTATTTCGCTCAATAAACTGAACTGAACCGGTTTGTTGGGTTGTTTGGAGAACTGGGTCGTTGAGTTGTTTAAAGAATAACAGACGTGTGTTCGTAACTGCAATAAGATGCCAGCCCTATGCGGTTGCTTACATTTGGGGGGCACCACATCT